CCCACACCCACACCCCACACCCACACCCACATCCACACCCACACCCACACCCTTCCAAGATTTCATTTGAATGACACGAACCTTGTTCAGCAGCACCATTTTGGATTAGATTCACTCCAAATATTGATGATTTGAATGTTCCATTTGGTAGATAAGAGTGATCAATAAAATGTTTATTGATCTGTTCCATATCCAAATTTGAACCGTTTAAATTTACACGGATAAATTGTAAACGAACAAGTTTGATTTTAACAAAACGAGAACGTTGAAGGCAGACATCTTCAAATAAAGTACGACATATAAGTGATTCTTCGAATAAAACGTCGCTCAAATCACTCTTGCCATGAATTTTTGCTCGATAGAATCTGACACGTACAAATGACACACTTTTCATCGTCACATTCTCGAACCTATTTGTAAATATGAAACTATTATCTACTAAAAATAATGACGTATGAAGATGATCAATTACATCACAAAATATCGTTCCAGTCCAATTAGAATTCGATAAATCATTTCCATGAAAGTCATTAACGGATGACCATGAAGAATATGCTGATTGAGCACTTCGAAATGACGAATGTTGCACTTGAAAACCAATAAATGTTGAATATTCTAGAGTAGCATTATTAAAATTAACTCCTTGTATCGTTGTTTTTAGAAATTTTGTTCCAGTCAGATTACTTCGTTCGAATGTAGCATTGTTCAATAGAACATTTTCAAACGATGAATTTCTTAAATAGATATTCGACAAACGAATACCTGTCAAATTGATTTTTCGTTCGTCCTGACTCGTTTGATTTGTTATGCCGAATTTGACATTGGACAAATCAGCACCATCCAGATTGATAAATTTCTTATTATAACTTTCTGCATAAAATAGTTGATTATCGTATAAGTATTTAATTAGATACCATTTTCTTCTTTCGTCTATTAGGTCCAATATTAGTAATACTTTTGCACGAGCAAACATTAATTCTGATTCTGTAAGATTATTGTTTGGTTTCAAAACGATTGTCGATAAATCTCCTATAAATGTATCATAAACAGTATCAATGCGCGATTGAATGACTCGAAGACTATCGTGCACTTGTTGTTCTTTGTTGGCATCTCGTTGCATTCGAGCAATCTTCAATTCTTGTAATGTTTGTATAATTGTGAATGCACCGATCATGATTGGAACGAGAATAGCTGCAATTACTTTAATTACCTGAATTACTATCGACCATTTTTTTTTCTGCTGTTCGATGATTGAAGTACTATTAATACGTCTATTTGCTACTAATTGTGAACGAAAATTACGTCGATAATGAGTATTTACTGGTGGCATTGTTTTTAAGTTTCTGACTGCTCTAGAAACGTAGACTACAAAGCCAAAGTACAAAAAAAACATTGATATCTATGCGGATTTATTTTTAAAAAATGCTAATCAATCATTTTTATCTCACATCAAATGACTTTTATCTACATCTGTGCAGATAAAGTATGATTGACATCTATTTACTCATTTTGTTTCAACACATAATATGACATCTTTTTCAAGGTAACCCGGCATGTGTGTCAACAATAGAGTTACCACCTCTTCTGCTTTTAGCAGAAAAATTCTGTTTTTCGAAGATTTTTCTGCTTTTTTTCAGACATTCTGTCTTGCATATTCTTAAGTAAGACTTTTGATACTACTGGACCATTATTCCAAAGATATTCGGAAAATTCCTATTAATATCTACTAATAATTTTGCGTCACCCTTTATATTATAAGATAATACCAGGAAAATTTCTGCTTTTTACTGGCTAAGGAAAAACCACCAATTCATATTCTTCGTGCAGACTTCTGACTTTATCCATGTGTTTCTTCCTGGGGATCATCCATAAAGGACGTCCGTGAAAAATGGCCTTTTTCGACCCCCCCCCCCCTGTGCGTCCACTTTAGAGATTTTTTTTCCAAAATTATCGAGAAAAGCGTAAAAAAAGCAAGACTCAGGTCAAACAATCAGACAGTAAGATCTTACAAGATTGTACCTCTGATCTTGTAAGATCAGATGGAAATTGTATCCAGGGCGAACAATCGGACACTAAGATCGGACAAGATTCTTCGTTCGATCATATATGATCTTGTACGATTCATACCAAATCGTACAAAAAATTGTAGTCTCTAAAATCTTACATCAATCCTTGTTGTAAGATTCTTGAAAGATCTTGTTGTCTTGCCAAATCTTACTGTAAGATCATAGAAAATCTTATGCGACGGTAGGATCTGACATGAATCTTACAGTAAGAATTGATGTAAGATTTCAGAGACTACGATTTTTTGTCAGGTTCTTGTAAGATTTCGTTCATATTGCAAAATCTTACTTGTAGATGATAAGATCTTATGTCAGACTTTTCGACCTGGGGGGATTCGAAAAAGCGTCCGGACATCCGGACGCATCTGACCCCTTCCCCTGAGGGTGTGGGTGTGGGTGTGAGTAAATAGAAGATCAAAACCACACCCACACCCACACACCCACACTCACACCCACCCCCGTCTTCTATTTTCCTCCGAAATACAAATCAGTTTCAATTCCGATGTTATAAATATTCACAAGTTCAATGGACATCGCAATAATAATCAACACTTGAGCTAACTAGAATATTTATTTGAAATAAAATAAAATAAATTAAACGAGATGTTAGAAAACGTACATTAGTAGTGAATAGTGATTAAATGAAGGTTAGTAATAGTAAAGAGAGAAGATTTATATGAAAACAAGACTTCTTTGTTGGAAATGTCACTTCTTTGAATTGGTTTAGACGATAATCGGCGATATTTAGTGACTGTAAAAGAAAAAAATTGAATGATTTTAATCTTAAACATCTATAAATTCTATACGTAAGTATTGTTATCTAGTTAGTGTTAACAACTCTACATACGTTTCGGTTCCACTACATTGTTTGTATATTGAACTTTTTTTGATACAGTGGTATTCTACTTAGAATACGCTTCAAGATTACACCAAAATTGGACGCATTTAACAAACCCTCCATTCAATGGAATGATACCTTTATATGAGGAGCTAAAGGATCATCAGATGTCCACTGATCATCAAGCAAAAGAAAAGTTTGTATAAAACTTCTATTCAAATATATAGCTAGTTTGGTATCAAAACTTGAAAATTCCTCAGATGTTCATTGATCATGAGATAAACGAACAGTTGGTATGAAGCTTGTATTTCAACACTTAGCTCTCTGGGCATCAAAGGTTGAAGACCCGTCAGATGTTCAGTGATCATAAAACAAAAGAATAGTTCGTAGCAAGCTTCTATTTGAATATTGAGCTCGCTTCAAATCTGAGATTGAAGATTCATCAGATGTTCTGCGATCAGGAAAGAAATGAACGATTTAAATAAAGCTTCTATTTGTATATTTAGCTTGCTTGGCATCAAAAATTGAAGATTCATCATATGTTCACTGGTCATGAAATAGACGAACAGTTCGTACGAAGCTTATATTCCAGTATCTGACTCTCGTGACAACAGAGATTGAAAACTCATCAGTTGTTCATCGATCATGAAACAAATGAACTGCTTGTATAATACTTCTATTCGAATATTTAGGTCTATTGGCATCGGAAATTGAAGATTTATTAGATATTCATGGATTATGAAAGAAAAGAATAGTCTGTACCAAGATTCTAAAGGAATATTTAGCTCGCTGGACATCCGAAATTGAAGATTTATCAGATGTTCATCGATTATGAAACAAAAGAATAGTCTATACCAAGATTCTATACGAATATTTAGCTCGCTTCAAATCTGAGATTGAAGATTCATCAGATGTTCAGCGATCAGAAAAAAATGAACGATTTAAAGGAACCTACTATTTGAATATTTAGCTCGCTTGGCATCAAAAATTGAAGATTCATCACATGTTCACTACTCATGAGATAGACGAACGATTCGCACTATAAAACTTCTATTCGAATATTTAGGTCTCTTGGCATCAGGAGATTGAAGATTCATCAGATGTTCATGGATTATGAAACAAAAGAATAGTCTGTACCAAGATTCTAAACGAATATTTAGCTCGTTGGGTATTCAAGATTGAAAACTCTGCAGATGTTCATCGATCATGCAACACATGAATAACTATTAATAGACTTGTATTCGAATATTTAGCTCGCTTGGCATTGAAGATTGAAAGTTCATCAGATATTTATCGATCATGAAGCAAGCAAATACTTTCTAGGAGGTTTCTATTCGAATATTTAGCTCGTTTGGAATCTGAGACTGAAGGTTTAGCAGATGTTCATCGATCATGAAACAAACGAACAGTTTGTATAAAACTTCTATTCGAATATTTAGGTCTCTTGGCATCGGAGATTGAAGATTCATCAGATGTTCATTCATCATGAAACAAACGAACAATTTATATAAACCTTTTATTCAAATATTTAGCTCGCTTGACATCAGAATTTGAAGATTTATCACACAGTTACTGAATATGAAACAAAAGAGCAGTTCATAACAGGCTTCTATTCGATTATCTTTATCTAATTTTATTGAATGTGACTAGTAATGATATAAGTTACGATGGGATGATAGATGAATAGTTTTTACAAGAGGTAGATTCATGTATTTTTTTTCGAATTGTACTCAACATTTTATGGTCCTGATATGGCTGAAGATCACATCAGAAAGAAATAGTTTCAAATCAAAAATACCTTCTCGAATTTCTTCATTACAGAAAAGTCAATATCTGAAGTCACAACCAGAATCCATGATCACACATATATTGAATAGCTGAGCTATATTGTCGTTCTCATATTTGCCGTTTTGTAAAACAATGAATTCAAATTGACAACGAAGACATTGATTGAATAGTTTTTGATAATGGTTTACGGTCACCGCTGTTTCCACATTTAAGAACGACGAATAACGATTAGAGTACGATAATCCCGTTGTACAAAGACTGCTGGTTTCTTGAATGTTGCAGACAACAAAGGTTCCATATGAATACCTTGCTCTTATCAAAGATAGTCGACAGATTTTAGCAGATAAAAATATGATATAACAAAAGAATTCTTCGTATCATGCTGATATTCATATATGTTATTTATTTTGAAAAACACCTAGGACTTTAGCAATAAGACTAAGAAATATATAGTGACTGAATCTGAACTACCTTTTTATTCAAATATCACGCACTGAAAAAAATACTCAGGTAATCTGTAATTTTGTCTGTAGACCGTTAGACAGATGCATAGTTTATATCTTTGGTTTCTATTATTCGAATGCCATGTCCATTTGATATCAACAGTGCGGAACTAGATTTATTTTAAATAGTGTCATGGTAAGTGAATTAGTTGTATAATAATTCTATTCAAGTGATTTGTTCAGTTTATATTGCACTTTAAAATCAATTATACATCTAAAATTACACGACACATGAATTTCACCTACAAAGGTTTTATGAAAATATATTCTTCACACTAAAATGAATATCTATAATGCGCGATACGTTCGACTGTGATACGGTTTATGTATGATTTTAATTAAAATGTCATTCAAGTAAGATGTTTACTGTAAGTAAACTATTTAACATGGTAGCATCTTCTCAGATTGCATCAGAAATGAATGAAACATACCACTCCTCTATTCATATACTCTATTTCCTTCACATAGAAGATTTAGAATGAAGAGTGCATTCAGTAATGACATACCAAATGACTCACTTAAACCAAACATCTATCTAAATATTTGGCACACGAAGGAGACAAACTCATAAAAGACAAAAATGTGAGATAATCATTCGATAAATGAATCGTTCACATAAATATCCCATTCAAATATTGACTCTGTACGAACTAAAAGCTCAGGAGACATCCCAGCCAAAAGTAGCAATGGAGAAATGGCATTATAATGATCGAAAACTTACATAATTATAATGGTGAAAAACTGTCACAAATAACCCTCAAAAATGCTTGCTGGATTACGCATTAAAATGATTGACTTATTGAAGAAAAAATGGTTCAACTTTAATACAAAATAATGTATACAATTTAAATCATTTTTATGACAGTTTCTTATCATTATCTTTATTCCATTAAATTCTGATTTTACTCTAGTATAGAAAGAATTTAGTTTGTTTAATCATCTACACAATAGCGTCTATACTGTGATTGAGAATCACTTTCATTTTTCACAAATTTACAAAGAATAGTGTCAGACCGGTTGCCTACGATATACCGTGCATTTTATGGACAAAAATGAAATACTATGTCTTTAGAAAAGGACTATGCTTACTTCAAGTAGAGGCTTGCTATCTGCACGAATGAACTTTAAAATATCAGCCTCTCCAAAAGTTCTATCTAAACCTTTTTTGTTTAATCTCTCTATGGAGTAAACTTTGCCTATTCTTTTTCGTTGTTTTGTTACATAGTAAAGAATATACTAAGTTTTTATTCCTACACGAACTCCAAAAACATCGTTGAAAGCTAAGAATTTTAACCAAAACATAATAATTAAACTTGTTTTGTCTTTCTAGAAAAAAACATCACTTAGCATTTAGTTTTTAATAAATTCCAGTTGTTGAATAATTCGAACCTTTAAACTGCTGAATACTTGAATGGACTTTTCGTTGAATTTCATTTCAATATATCTTTCTATAAACGAAATAAATGGTTTCAAATCAAAATTCGAACCATTAAGGCGTGTAACATTCAAGAGCTTTTCTGCAAAAAACAAGTTAAATTTTCCTATATTAGTTAAAGAGCTTAGGTTTGCACGATGCTTTTAAAGTTTATCCATAGACAAAAAAACTGCATTTATTTTTCTATTACACTACGCAAAATGAGTCGGTGAAGTTCGGTTCGTAATGAGATGAAACGAAAAAACTTTCAGGAAGGAGTTGTTGAGACACTAGATACACTGGTTCTTGTGAAGAGTAAGCTCCTTACACATCGGAGAATCGCAAGAAGTTATGAAAAAATATGTTGTTTCTGACCACTTCTAGGTTTGACTTCATCAAGATCAAATATTTCAGGGACTTTTAGTGTACATTTCGATTTATATTCTTGACTTTTACGTCAAGTATGAGTGTATATTAAGCGAAGGCTACTCAATCATACAACTTTTAGACATTATAAAAGCCTTTCGATCATCAAAAAACTCCAAAAAAAAAGACTCAGTAATCATAAAATGGTCATAATGGGTTGCTTAAGAATTACAATGCATTTTAATGGTCGAAATGGTCTAGATACTGAAAATAATGCATTTTAATGGCCAGTTCTCCATTATTCTTTTGACTGGGATAGTCTCACTGAGTCCTACTCATAGCTAAAATATGGGCTCAAACAACGTCGAACAGTTGGTGTCCTTCCCTCGTAAGTAATCCATATATGAGACGCTAATGAGAAAACAATTTTCTCAACAACTTCTGTCATGCAGTGTATAAGTTCAACGTGTAAATTCGAATAAGAAATGTATGTAATCACTAGAATATTTATTTCTATAGATGATACGTGTAGAAAAAAACGTAATATTGAGGGAAGAGTATTGACAATAGAATGTCACAAAGAAATATGATATTTCCATAAATAATGTTATGAAAAAATTTCAATAGATGTGTACAGACAGGAATGCTTCTTTCTCTCATAATCAGAAAATGATATTATGCTTACAAGAGTAAAACAATTTTTTCAACGGTTTAGAATATATGTTATCCTCTTAGAGAGAATTTATCTTATTTGAGAAACAATTCAAGATGATATTCGACTATCTTTTAAATAAATGATCTCAATCATAATTGACAGTTCGAATCAAGAACTGAACAATATTTTATTGTCATTCATTACACATGAAAAAATCATTTTTATCTTCTTGATTTATTTTGACTACTTCGGGATGAAATATAAAAACTATACAAGTTTTCATAATTTCTTTGAGAATCTTTTCAGCTGATTTTAAAACCATGTCTTGATGAAAATAAAAACATATCAACAATTATTATTCATTGAGTATTTTTATGTTTTAATATAATATTGAATATATTTTCCGAACAGGAAATGAACGAAAAACAAGGCAAAAATATTATGGCCCACCCATTACAATGGGTTTCCAGGCTGATACAACAATATACACAATCAAGTGACATTAGTTATTGTATCAGACAGCATAGTAAGGTTGCTTACTGTAACGGTTAATAATCAAGATATTTCTAAACAATCTATGAAAAATATGTTAATAATATGAAAGTATGCTTGAACGAGTTAAAATGTTAAAGCGTTTGTCTTACGTATTTAAACAATATTTTCGCCATCTACTGTATTTCTAGGTTGTTCAAAAAACACGCTTGATAATAAATATTGTGCTATATATAAAAGAAAAAATTAGCAGGTAGTTAAATCATGGTGGAAACGTAATCTACTTATTATCCTTCTTTCTTTCCTCTCGTTCTCTTCTACATGTTGATATACTTGTTCGTGTATTAATCACTTTGTAAGTAAATGACAGGCAAACGATACCAACAAGCTATGTTCAACACTGTTTTCTTTATTTGTTCGATTAGTACTGTAGATTTCAGAAATGGCTTCGAAGTTGGAAGTGTTCATGTACGCTGTTCCCCTTGTTTCACTGTGATATTGATTCGATCAGTTTCGAAATGAGATATCTCAACAGCTAACACTTTCTTCAATTTCAAAAAATTTTTACCAACATAACGACTTTTAATCAATCTTTGGAATAACATTTCCCCATAGACGAAGTGCTCAAGTATAGCGTCAGAACTTTGTCAATTTTCATCCATCGAAGTTCGACTATTTTACTAGTCAAAAAGCATTCACTGAAACGATCTATTAGAAGTTCATACTTAAGTAATACATATTAACAAGAAACTATGATTATGCAAAGACTTATTATCAATTGTTCAATAAGTATCATTTTATTTTTTATAAGAACAAAACTGTTTAACATCAAGAATATGATCATAGTTAAATAAATCAGTCTGAATATGTGCAGTTATTCGTATTGATATCATTAGATCCATATGTGAATATGATTGGTATAATCTAGCACTTTGACAATTGAACATCTTGACGGCAAACGAACTTTCAAGCATTGAATAACTTCATCCGTGCTTAGTGAATTTCTATAGTAAGATTCAACATCGTTGGTTGTTCGAAATAACCGTAGGGAATTCTTTTTATCATCCCAATAAACATATAACGATCGAAGATGAGTCATATTTTTGATAAGATTAATGATGCATTCAGGATCATCAACTTCAATAGAAAGAACTTCACATTGAACCATCAGAGGTGAACGACTTAATGTAATACATTGTTCCTTATTGAAACAATGATTATAGTTTCCTAAATGGAATCTACGAACTGATGTAGTCGTACATTTTAATAATGATAGTTGCACAGATAATGATCCATCTTGACTGATTGTTAATGTTTCAAGATGAGATGCTCGATCCAATAAAGTTTGTAATTGTAATTGATAACTATCAGCATAGGATGATACATTGAGCGAACGTAGTCGATTTAAACTTGGAACAATAAACCAAAATTTATCATTAATAGGAAATTCTATATGAAGATACTTAATGTTGAGAAAACGAATGTGAGATGGAATCGGTTGATTAAAGAGTTTCATATCATAGATCTTGGTCGTGTTATTAAAAACTTGATGATAATCTTCCTGAGGACATGTCAATTTACATTTTTCATCAATACGTTCAAAATGATAATCTAATGGATGAGATAGAGTATAAAAATGAATAAATAGTTTTCGATATGTAAAACATCGGAAAAACCATTTATGTTCATCAATCCAAAATGAAGTTCGAAATGAATTAATTAATTTATCTACCTGTTTTTTTAAATTTCGCTCAATAAATGTCATTCTGCATTTGAGTTTAAATGTTTTCAATTTGGGCAAATAATTACGAATGATTTTTTCCCATTGATAACCATCAATTCGTTCAGTAAATATGTTGATATCTAAATGACATAAATTCGGAACATTCTGTAAGAAGATAATGAGTTTCGAAATGTCACCAGAATAAAAGCTAATTTTCAAATCAATTAGTGTTGGTAATGGATATGCTATATAGTTATCATTAATTGAAGTTAAATAGCACCCTAAAAGACGTTTTAAACGAGGTGTATATTCCAACAATTGATTTATCTGATTTATTTCAAATTCATGATAAAATATAGTTATACATTCAAGTGATGACGAAATAATCTTTGGCAGACAAACACTATGTTGTCTTGCGATGGAAATGTCAAAATAACAATTAGTAAGTTTTGGTAAACTCCAAATTTGATCAACAATTGATTGAAGAACAACTTGATCATTTTGAAAAGAACAAGAGTGAAGATTTAAATCAGTAAGATTATTGAGATAACGGCATTCGGTTAGAATTTTCAACAATGTTTGATGTGAGTTAAGATGGAATAGTTTTAGCGATTGCAATCGAGTGAATTGATTGAATGATGATATATAAGAACGGAATAGATTAATTTGATTTGGAGTATCATAACTATTAGATAAATGAAGTGTAATAATTCTATCAGCAATAAATGGTAAATGTTGTTGACATATCATATCGAAATTACGTTTTGATATGGATTGAAATTTGAAACAATAGAATCGAAATTGTTTGTAAAGAAGATTGTTAAAACGATAATTGAGATTATAAAATGCACGAAAAAGATCGATACCATTGAAATACTCGAACAATGTAAGAAACATTTCGTTAGGTAATAATTCTAAATTCATTGTATTTTTCAGAAAATAATATTTCGTATAAAATAAATAAAGTTCGATAGTTTTTCGTTCTTATTCAATATACTAGCTGACTTGTTTTATGTTATTTGCCAATGTTCAATATATAAGGTGGCTGTATAAATAGTATGTAATCGAAAAACAAAAGGTCAATGAAAAATGTGAATCGATTTAAACAAAACATAAGAAACGACGGACGATATAATGCACATAAAATGACGATATAACCTATTATGATTGATTGTTAGAAACGCTGCTATGTCT